TAATAGAGTTTATGACACAGAGTAACAATAATTGAACGGTGAAAGTAATGTTAATATTTCATTAGATTAATATTATTATTGGACTCGCCACGCTTGTGTAGGCGGGTACTAAGCAGTTGGGTCGTCATTCTGTCTGTCTGTCATTCTGTCACAAAAATTCCTGTTAATTCCTAGTCAATATCTTTTTTACTGAGCTCTCCTGAGTTATAATTCTTTTTAAGCTTTGAGAAAAAGATAATTTATTTAGCTCCGTTGTATTTTCATAGCAATCCGTGGTAGCAAAAGCTGAATATTTTAGAGAATAGACCACTTTTCCTAGCCAAATCTTCATGTTTCACTCTATTTGGTCAAGATTAGCATTGATAGGTAGAGAAAAGTACCTAGATTAAAAAATATGTGGGGATTTTCTAATCTCTTTTTTGCTTGAGAGTTACAGTTGCTCAAAGTTTGTGATTTAGCCTTTTCGAAAAATTTTCAGGCAGCACTGGGGAAAGCAAGAGCAACCAAACTATCTCAGTCTCTTTTAAATATCTAGGCAAATTTTTTGTGCTTACTCTTTCTTTGAATAGAGCTGCAGATGCTAAAATAAATTTCAGCTTTTCTTCTTTCTCCTACCCACGTGCCATGTTTATCTGCACTGCACTGCTAGGTGCTGACCACACCTAAAATTTATTTTATGGATCAGTGCAGTAATTGGCTAAATGCATTGTTGCACTTTGTTAAAATTTATTATCCTTTTTTCAAATATCAAGTTGCTTATATATATAATATCATGATGGGGGCAGTACAAGTAACACATTATCCCTCAGGTGAATCTCAGCGGGCGAGTCCATGCACCATAGTGCTTCAGTTAATATTGCCTTACCCCCACTTACTTTGAGAACTCTCACTTCACACTGACCCTTAAGTTTCAACACACCCACTCAATTAATAATTAATTTTACAACATTTAATCTTTGGTCATCTCAAGTTATACTAAACATTTCTTCAATTAATCTCTTTGTCACAGTTCAATTAAGTTCTAGTGTCACACCGTCTTTATCCTTCTTGCGTAAGCCACTAGCGTGGTGATTAATTGCATTCACGCACTTCATCCACACAGGCTCAAACTCAGCTGGAGTGTCAACGTATTGTCGATATAAATTGCAAAGTTTCTTCTTCAGGGCCCTTACTTTATTACCTGGCAATGAAGCATTACCTTTCAGGCCATACACAGTTGATCTTTTCAACAAATCTTTACCAAAGTATGACTCAGAAGCAAGCCTCACTGCTAATCTGCCTATGTTTGATATGGTCCTCAATTTAGGATAATTAGCAATGACCTCATCTGGGTCAAGCAACCCATCTGACAAAGGTGGTGTACTTGCAGGAGTATGAGTAATAGAATAAGAGAGTGGAGGTGAAGTTATTGAAGGAGGGAGTGGAGGTGGTGTTATTGAAGGAGGGATTGTAAGTACATGTAACTCTTGAGTGATTGGACCAAGCGATTGCTCTTGAGTGATTGGAGCCAGTGATTGCTCTTGAGTGAATGGATCAAGTTGACTGCTGTTGAGTGATGGGAGCAAGTGATTGCTGTTGAGTGATGGGAGCAAGCGTCTGCTGTTGAGTGATGGGAGCAAGCGACT